TGAGTCATTTATTATCACTGCTGTAAAATGACGTAATTTGGGGTTATTTCTGACACTAAACAGAGAATTATACTGTTCATATTGCTTTGCTTTTCTGTGGGTTAGAAGTACACATTTAAAATGCCTTCCTGTTTTTGTCATATTAAAATTCAAAAGCTTTGAGAGCAAAACTGTTCTTTTGTATTATTATAACTTACTGTTTGTGCTTATCCACAGTTTGAGTCAGTGGAAGTAACAGCGCAGACATCCTCTCAAACTGTTCAGACTGTGGATTGAGGTTTCAGTTCAGTAATGTTAGATTCAAATCAGGATTAATCATTGAATTGTTTGCAATTTATATTTTACCAATGGCCAGTTAAATATGCTCCAGTTAATAAATTGTTATGCTATTATTACAAGCAGATTTAACTTTTTGTTCCTTTTCATTTTAACTCTTCTAGAAATCACATACTGTGAACATTTATAACCAAGAACAGTGTCACACATAAGACAGATATAACTGCACATCCACAGAAAAACAAGTTGCTGTCTCAGCGATTGTCAGACTGTAGAGGGCGTCAGCGCTCTATCTGGCTGTGAGAGATTTTCCAGGACAAAAACCTACACCGGCAAGTCTGAGAAGCTTCGGTTCTTCAGCATTGTGTCCACAGGGTTAATACCTGTTTGAGAAATGCTTTCTGTAAAACACAGTGTATGTGCAAATTATTTGTGGTGGAATAACAGTGTTTGTCTTCACCTGTAGTAGTTGGGTTTGAAGGGCCCGTGTTTGCTCACGCCCAGGTATAAGGCCTGATCATTGGCCAGCTCTGTGAGGTGAGCCTCAAATGTCAGCAGGTGAAGACTGGCCACATATTCATCTGAAATTATACACATACATGGTCCTTTTGAATTTGCTTTTGGACTGTACTAATAAAGAATGCAATAAAGATAACATTTGTTTCAGGGTATCTAAGCTAAAGACTTGCCCATCTTCTTCGGCAGCAGGTATATGTCCTGTTTGTATCGTCCCTCTGGAGCACTATAGAGCTCTATGAGAGCCAATGCCTGACATACAACAGTGAGAGGTTTGATTAACACGACTACAAGTGACTGCACCAATTTAACATCTGACAGAGCTACTGATTCTTCCTCTGTGATACATTTAGAAAAAGAACCAAACTGATTCCCACAGTATTTTGTAAAATAAATGTCTTGGTTAACAAAAAAATAAATAAAAAATTTAGACCTGAGTTGCAGCAGTGATGGAGAGGACAAATGAGGGCACTGCAGAGCAGCTCAGATTCAGCAAATGACCCTGAAAGAAAAGTCACAAACTTTCAAACACTGGCGTGGCATACAATAATGTGACAGCAGCCGCTGAGCACCATACAGACTTCTGCTAATAATTGTGTTCAGATAATCAGCTCCTGCTGACCACAGATAAGAGGTATAGATAATGGATGGATGGATATTTTATATCAAGTGAGTAATGTGTTTGGTAAATAGCTATGTAATAAACAAGATACTGTGCACAAAGTCTCTCATCAGAGTGGAATGATCAGTTCCGAACCTCCTTTGGGACTATAGTTTACATTAAATGTGTTTCTGTACATTATCTCTTCGTAGTGTTGTATAATAATAACTACTAACGGCATCATCACCTCAGCCAGCAGCACAATTCTCTTGCCATTAGGCCAGATAACCTGATCCACCTGAGGCTTCACATGCTCCCACCTCAGCTCTGCAGTCTGCAGACTCTCCTGAGAAACAAGAGTTTGTATTTTAGCCACACAAGCATATAAGTCTGCAGGTTTATGCATATGTTAAAAAGGCATAAACACACACACATTCTATTTTTTACCAAGTCTAACTCATTGTTGGAGTGTCCCATGTTGCAGACTATGCAGCCGTTTTTCATTCTGTCCAGATGTTCCCTTCTCACCACATTTTTACTGCCTGCGGATAAATTAAAATGAAATAAGACCCGATTAAAATAAGCAGTTGTATTGTGTGATCCGTATTCTTACTCAGCGTGTTCATTTTTACAGCAGTTACCAGTGCAGGTGATGACCAGGTCTACCTGTCTGACCACTTCACTCAGTTTAACCACCCTGAAGCCATCCATGCTGGGAGGAGAAGGGCATGAGAGAATGGGGTTAACATTTTTACCTTGCTGGATGTTTGGCTACAATGTACCTTTGGGAGGAAGGAAACACATTTCACATGTGTGCTGATAAAAGCTTCCTCCATTCATACCAGGCCTGAAGTGCACAAATGGGATCCACTTCTGTGACATATACAACAGCACACAATGCTTTGAGGGCAGCAGAGCAACCTTTGCCAACCTACAAGGAGAAAGAAAAGAGGGTTGGTAACTTTACTTAACCATAATAATTCTTACATTCTCTGTGTTGCACTTGCTTTTCCACTGACCTCACCATATCCACATACCACCACTTGTTTTCCTCCAAACATGATGTCAGTGGTTCTCTTTAACCTGAAAGAAGAGGTCAACAGTCAGGCTCTGTAAGGCACCAGCACATTTACCTGTTTACTGTTACAACATGAGTCATTACCCATCCAGTATGGACTCCTTGCAGCAGTAAAGGTTGTCGAATTTCTGCTTGGTCACAGAGTCATTAACATTCATTACTGGGACACACAGACTGCCTGCCTTTGACAGCTGGTACAGTCTGAAAGACACAGCCAGAGACATACGTGTAAGCCTCAGAGTGATTTTGTGAACTTGTGTGAATATATATATAGCTTTGTGTGGAACTAACCGATAGACGCCTGTAACACTTTCTTCCACGATGCCTTTGACCTTCTTGAACAGACTCGGGTACTTCTTATAGATCCGATGGGTCAGACTGCCTCCGTCATCCAGAATCTGACAAGAGTGGAAAAGCAAAATAAACTGTCCATCATCACAGCCTTTTTAGCTGTGAGTGTAAAATACACACTAAAATACATACAAATTAAAGGCATAGCTCACCCACCATAATCATTTATATTTGAAATGGATAGAGAGTTAATAGTCTCAGATGTTGGTAGTTTCAAAAGGCCCATAAAACAGGATTAACAAAAGGTTACATTAAAAATCAACAGTATCTATTTTTAAAAGCGGTTCCTTTAAAAACCACAGATGTCAGAGAACTACAGAGTACAACTACTCACTGTGTTCACCTTTCTACCCTGATATCACAGGATTTTGGTGGGGGGTGGGTTATGGTTAGCTTTATTGTCAACATTGTGGAAATTTGTCTTCAGCTTCAAGTAACTGTACTTTCATTGCTCCCCATGTTCTGAGAAGCTGTGTGGACAGGGGTGTAATTGTTTGATGTACATTTCTGTACCATGTTGGGCTGCCAGGTGTCAGCACACACACAATGGTCAATACACCACCAGAAGTCGTCCTGTGATTCTCCTCTCCACGCATACACGGAGGTGCCTAAGAGGAAGTGATTTATAAAGAGCATGCTTTGATCAAAAGAGAAGGTATAGAGGGACAACTATGGTGACCCTGGTGGAGGAGCAGCTGGTACAGACAGTCGTACCTCCTTCAGCCAAAGCAGCAGCCACAGCGTTCTGAGTAGAGAACATGTTACAGGCTGCCCATCGACACTGAGCCCCCAGCTCAGACAAAGTCTCAATCAAGACCTGCAAGAAAAAACACAGTCAGCAAGATGTTGGATCTTTGTGTATGTATGTACATGTGTGTGTGTTGAACTGACCGCTGTCTGTGCAGTGATGTGTGTGCAGCCCACCACTTTAGCTCCAGCCAGAGGTTTCTCACCCCCAGCTCTTTTCCTCAGCACCATCAGTGCTGACATTTCTAAATATCACACACAGTGCCCGAGTCACATTAAACACAAGCACAGAGTGCATGCGTGGACACATATTTTACATTTGTGGTTTTATATTCTCATTCCATCCTCTCTTCGTGTGTGTTCCCTTTCTTCTATTGAGATGTCACATAATGTAAGAAATAATAAACTATTTGTTAGAACACTCTTTGACTTTACCTTGCTGTGCGGCTTCAATTGCTCTGCGTCCAAAATCAGCTTGTTTGATATTTTTGATGCAAAAGTCCGAAAGGCCCGTGGAGGTCTTCTGAAGTTTGTCTCTGGGAGAGACCTCATCCTCAGAGCTGTCACTGCACACTGCAACACAGAAATCAGACACTGTGTATAAAAATCGTTTGTCTAAAACTATGGTTTTTCAGGCTGTTGTTTCTGACACAGCTGGGGGACACTTTTCTCTGAGCCTTTAAAATCCTTTAAAATCAACAGTGATCGACATGTTTGAAAAAGGCTCACAGAACAGATTAGGACCAAAATAAAGAGACTTAATTCTTCTGAAAACCTTTCCTTTAAATTTAGGTTTAACAGTAGGAGGACACACCAAGGCTAACCCTCAGGGCCTGTGGTTCTCATGCTGCTGGGATCAGAACCAGCGCAGTTTATATATCAGTCATGTGATTAGTGTATGTATGTGTGTGTTCATGTTTGCATACCTGAACTATAGCTATCTGTAGATGACTGTGAGATAGACTGAGACAGAGGGCGACAACTAGTCTTGATGGGATGCTTGCTGAATTCTTGCCTCTGGTCACTGAGCTGAATTTGCTGTGGAATCAAAAAGAGACAGGATCAAAATAAACAGGATTAGAAAGAGTATATAAATTGTTACTCCACTGCAGGTCACATTCACGGAGTCAAATCATCTTCATGCTTGAAACATACAGATAATAGAAACATTTGCACAGAAGCACCATACTTCACAGCAGATTTTCTTGTAAACTACCATCTTTCTTCTCACCGGCACTGTCACAAATGTTCTTCTCGTCCCTGTGTCTGTTATTGTCTCACCATCCAGTGTGGCTGTCTGAGGACTGAGCTGCTGCCACACGGGTCCCACTTGGCCATGCCCACTCCCTTGCTGTACGAGTCTGAGCTCTCTGCCTAGCTCCCTAATGAGGCGATAAACTGAGGTACACAATTCTGAGTCAGTCCATCATAATGATTTCTAACAGCCTCTCCTGGTATCTCCTCCGTGCTCTTGAGACTGTGCTGGGAGACAGCAAACCTTCTTGCAACTGCATGTATGGATGAGCCATCTTGGAGTGACTGGACTACCTGTCCAACCTGATTGGGCTGCAGGTACTGCATTAGTGACAAGGGTACTAGCAAAGCACAAAACCTGAGAAGAATCGGTCAGCAATGATAAGGAGGGAGAGCATTTGTCTGTGGCCGCCACATGCAAAACCAGGCCCTTTGGGGATTGTCTAGCTTCGACCTCTCCATTGCACCTGTTGTCACTTTCATTTGCACCAAAGCTGTTGAAACTGATTCACAATCACCTGTGCTTCCTAAATAGACAGAATGATATCCCTGAAGTTTAACTGACTTGGTGTTGTACTGACGATCAAGTGGTCCCTTTAACTTTTTGAGCAGTTTATAATGTCATGATCTACACTGGCAGGACAGATCAGTCAAAGCCATGAACTGTAGCAATGTTACTGCTCACCACATCAGTCCTCAGAGATTCACTAAGCAGCTCTCCTGCCTTCAGCTGGGCTCTGTTCCGACCAGGACGTGTCCACCTGCTCTCTGCCGCTTTTAGCATGTGCAGCAGTTTTGGGCTGCATTTTATTGCGTGACCTTTGGTGCTTTCCTTTGTGGTAGCAGAGGTATCCTTGTCTGTGTCTTCATTCAGCCCGGCTTTGTCCTCCACATTTGGCTCAGGATAATCATCAGGCAGTGACAGGTCCTCCCAGGAGGCTCCTATCTGCTCCTTTTCCTCTGCCATGACTCCACTGGCTGCCAGTAATGATGTGAATTAGACTTCTATGATCTGACAGCTGAGCCATACCCTGCCCGCATACATCACATTTCCTTCCGCAAGGTGTGTATTTTCTCTAAACTGCAGCAATTTTTTGTTGTTTTGACAAAATACAAAGTAGATCATTAGTCCTGGATGTTGTGTACAGGGTCAACACTAATATGAGCACTGCTTTTTGAAGCAGAGAGAAATGTAAGCAGGAAATGTAGGAAATAACCCAGTGCTGCAAAAACACCATGGGGGTAGATGTCAGTGTGTGCCCTAGAGTCTTTTGTACTAGATGTTGTCCTTTTTATATAAAAAAAAATACTCATACTCAAGACCTCAGGCATTTAGACTTGCAGAGATGTTACTTATTCTTGTCTTTCATAACACTGGCTCAAATTGCAATGAGCACAAAGACATGAGTACAATGTGAACCGAGGTTGACATTATAAACAAACAGGCAAGGTGATATATTTAGTACATTAAACTCCACCAGCAACAGTAGAGGCCCCCATGATGACCAATCGCATCCTAATGTCAGGTTCAAAGACAAGTCATCAAACAAAATGGCTGATCCAAGTATCCAAAATTTAAAATATGAAAGAATTTCTCCTGCTGACAAAGGAAGGGTTGCATTTGATTGCGTGGGGTTGTTACACTGTTTGGGGTGGTTGCCTCATGGGTCTGGTTGCAAGACATCGCTGTAGCCAAAGCCCTCCTGAAGTTAGTCCACCAAAGAGAGCATATCAGTGGTTCAAATATTTCTTCTACCATCTGACTACTTCTGCAGTCAAATTCAGCCTGGTGCACTCCTCAGTCACCTGACAGTTTGCAAGAACTAGTTAACACCTCTTTGAACTCTGCTCTGAAATAAATGTGTTTAATTAGCTGACCCTAAATTACAACCTGCCAAATACCAAAGACAACATCAACCAGTTTTCTACTCAAACATGGGTGACAGAGGTAGGCTCCTTCAGTCCCGTCTCACCCAGCAGGATGTACAGTGTGATAGCACTCAGTTTCCACTGACAATGACTGGGCAGCTGTCACCAGAGATTTGTCTCCATGTGTACTCGGAGTGCTCAGCAGCATGGCTGCTCCCTTTGGCCACAAGGGGGCTCACATACAGTCAAACAGCCTTTCCAGCTTTCACAATAGTAAATAATCATTTAAAATATTCCTATATCCAAATTATGATATGGATTTAATCAAAATCCATTCCTTAGTTTTTGAGTTATGTTGTAAACAAACAAACCAGCAAACCAACATAGCCCCTGACCTTGGCAGAGATTTTAAAAACCTCCCTGTTGGGTACTTTGCAGCCTAACTCAAAAGAAATGAATGGATTTGGGGGAAATATTTCAGAGGAGGGGTATGGCTCAGGGAACAATCCATTACATTTTGGTGTTTATCCGGATCATCATCTGGAGCCAGGAATCTTTTAGATGATTCTTCACCATGATGAGATGGGGCGAGACTCAGCGGGGTGTCAACACATTTGGATCTCCAAAAGTTACTGAGCTAGACCCTGAAGAAAACTACCATTAGTGAAATGTTGTGTTTCTTGAATAACTTTCAAACTAACCAATGTGATTCCAAATGTTAGGGGTAGGTTTTCATGGTCAAGTAGAATATTGTTTTTACTTGGAATGGCATTTTGGAGGAACTGAGCTGCCTTTGCATTCTCTACATGCTGTCTAGTTTTATTTGGTTTGCTGGATTGTTGTGTTGTGATTGTATTTATTCAGTTGTGCAGCTTGCAGTAGGAAGAGGTAGTTCTCTTATACAGTTTCTACTACTTAATGTATCAATAGGAGGCATGGTTTTATTCAACTAGGGGGAGTAACAGTTCCACAGGTGTCCCAACTGAGGAGCTTTCCAGCTGAGCTAGAGAAACGTCTTGTCCTTTCTTTCCTCAGGATGACAACTGTGACAACTTCAGTTTGATTCCGTCTGTTCTGTCTGACGGGAGTCCACCAGGAGGAGCAGTGGGAGGGAGAGTAACACTGTATCCAGTCCTCTGCCAGGTTTTTCTCTGGTCCTCATTCCAATTCAGTGCAGGAATTTAAGACTCTAGTGTTAAATTGGAAGTGATATGAAATGGCCCTGTTAATGGCCAGTGAAATGTTCACTTGGACCCTGTAAACAAAATGCAAGGAAATATATGTTAAACAGCAGTTGCTCAGTCAGGGATTTTGAGGTAATATATCAGCACAACAATTCAGGGATGTACTCAGGGCTTCATCATGTAGAGTCAGAGGAGTAATAATCTTTGTTTGGATTTTGTTGAACATGTTGTAGTCTTAGAGTCCTGAGCTTGAAGACATTTGTTATCCAATCTTTATTATAAACTGTAGTAACAAACTATAGCCTTGTACTCCTTTAACCTGACATGCCGTTTGACTTCCTGCTGCAGGCCTTCACATTATTCTATATGGTGCAGTGTGAAATTCCTCCCATCAGACATCAACACAGCAGGAAATGGGACGTCCAGCTAAAGTCTGATGTCATAGTGGAGCCACTGAATCAGGTTGTGTGCTTTTTTTTTGTACTAACCCGTTTCATTCTGAACATACGTGAGAGATATTATGACAAAGAAAGGTGACACTAAATTAAATGTCCTGTCATCTATTTTATTTACAGAAAACAGGTACTAATATTGAAGAAAGAGGACAATAGACAAATATCACATTTGAGCTCATTTTACAATAACATGGGCTAATATGGCTACAGACACACACACACATTCTTTCACACACATTCACATCAGTTTACAGCTGCTAATACTCAGCTCAGGGTTTAATTAATTCAGTTCTGTGTTGAATTGAATTTAACTCGGAACTGAATGAAATGATTGAGTTTTTTGTCTGCTTCATACTACAATAGCAGCCATAAGACTTTATGCAATAACATGTCCATAATACAATGTGTTTTTCTGCATGTTAGTTTCGTCCTCTTATACTGGAATAATACTCGTATACTAAAAATGTCTTTTTTGGTCACAGAATCATCACAGAACCACAATTATACTCCTGGGGTAGGTTGCATATTAAACAACACGCTGCACAAGGGGGACATCCTACCAATTAACAGTCAGTCAAATATACTTTTTCACACTCAGCTGCTTTCCCACCAAAATGCAAAATACAATTTCATATATTTTAAAAAATCATAAAAAAATTGAGTATGAAGAAGTTTGACCATTGCAAAAAAATGTGCACAATAAGAGCACGTCTAGTCTATGTTTCACTCCAGTAGTCGTCGTCTCAGTTTACAAGATTTATCACAGTATTTTGACTCCATCACAAGCATCAGTTAGCATTCTCACCCCCACCGTGCTGCACGTATTTTTTTATACTGGCACAGAAGCAGGTGCTTGATTGTGTTTTTGAAAGTGGTGTTGCAAAGGGCGTAGCAGGCTGGGTTGATGGTGCTGTTGATGTAGCAGAGCCAGTAGCCAATGGTCCAGAGTGAGTTTGGGATGCAGGTGGAACAGAAGGTGTTGATCAGGACTATCACGTTGTACGGCGTCCATGTGGCGACAAAAGCAACCAGAATGGCCATGATTGTACGGGTCACCTTTCTCTCCCTGGAGGAAATGCCCCTCTTTTTCCACTTTGCCACTGCGCTCTGCTTTGTTGCCTGAAAATAGAAGATGGGGGAAATTTTCATTAACTTAAAGTGATGTTTAAAGGGTTTTTTGCCACTTTTTGCACTGGAGCAAGCTGTAAACACAATATTGACATATTATCACCTTATCAGTTTATTGTGGTTAATGTGATTTTTTCCCACTTTAATCAAATTTACCTTAAACAGTGTCCTTGTTGCCAGAAATTGTCTGTCAGCAACTGCATTTTCCAGGAACGGTGGCTGTGTTTGATTAGTCTTATTCCGGACACTCAGTCCTTTATGTGATGCCACAAGGACCACAGCTGTGTCTTTAGACGTTGAAGCATGGATGCTTTCTGCCATCAAGTCCCCCTGGTTGGGATTTTCTTTCGTGCAGCGGCCACTGCCGTTGCGCTTATGCAACACTGCCTTCTCCTTCCCATCTCCAGCCTTTTTCTGCGCTTCTCTTGTTGTGATGCAGTTGCTCTGGCTCTCACATCCCTCCTCCTGGCTATTAGAGAGACCTTCTCCCAGACTGGTACCTGAGGTCTTCCTGCTGTCCCTCCTCATACGGCTGCGACTGGCTTTGGAGATGCGCCAGTAAAGGTGGATCATAATGGCCACTGGCAGGTAGAAAGCTGCTATGGCTGTCCCAAATGTTACCGCTGGGTTTGAGAAGAACTGTATATAGCAAACATCTGGTGGCACAGTTCTCCCACCCACAATGAACTGCCAGAACAAAATGGCAGGAGCCCAAAGAATGAAGGACAAGACCCAAGCTGCAGCAATCATCAGGCCTGCCATCTTGGTGCTTCGGCGTGTTGGGTAAGTGAGTGGTTTTGTGACACAGAAGTAACGGTCAAAACTAATGATGAGCAGGTTCATGACTGAGGCATTGCTGACAACATAATCGACAGCCAGCCACAGGTCGCACACCACTGCTCCCAATGGCCAGTAGCCAATCACAGTATAAACAGTGTAGAGGTTCATGGAACAGATGCCAATAATGAGGTCTGCACATGCCAGGCTGAACAGGAAGTAGTTGTTGACAGTCTGCAGGTTCCTATTTACCTTTAAAGAAACAACATGGAACAGACTGTCAGATGCTAATCTTTTTTGTACGATGTGATGTGTGCTGTTGTTCCTATTAAATTACAGCTCTGCACGAGGTTGCAAATGCTGTTTTCTTATCTCTAAGTCTGGGCATGCTTTTCAAGGTGTCTAGAGATGGCTGGTTGAAGCACCATTAATCATGAACAATCAAAACAAGAAAAGCCAAACCTTTATAGAGAGCATGACCAGGATGTTTCCAGTGACAGTGATCAGACTCAAAGATCCAGTCAGCAGGATGATGAGAGCCTTCTCCACAGGCGTGTACTGACTGAGGTTGGTGTTATTACCACTGGTGATGTTGGTGGTCTGCGATGAATTCAGCATCTCCATTCTCTCTCTTCTTGGCTATCCTTCTCACAAATGCTTTAAACTCGAGTCATTTCTGTTCAAAACCTGTTATGACATAGATTATGAAGAATCAGCTTCTTTACACTTATTTTGCCGCATAGGTGATATACAGACCTTTTATGTTTGTGTGTGTTTATCTGAAATCATGCATAACTCTGAGTGTGTAAACAGCTGGCAGATATTTCTGAGCTTGCAGTTTGGTCCAGATGTGAAGGATGGACAGGTGAGTAAATACAAGCTGCAGCAACTGTGTTTAAAATGTCACAGCACATATTCATATCAGGATTATCACACTGAGCCTGCTTTGGAGTTTACATGTACATGTAAATCTGCACATTAGGTGTTATATTTGTAAATTGAATGTTATAGTAAAATTAATAGTTAGATTTGATTAGACCTAAATGCTATCAGATGCTGATATGAAATTAATTTTTTTAAATCATTTTGCACCTGGCTGATATTCGGTTTGAGTGTTTTTATATTTGTATAAATTAGGGATGTCAACGTTAACGCATTAACATATGATTAATCAAATTTTTTTTAACGCTAATTAATCATTTGATAAGTTTTGACTCCAACTTCTTGCCGCCATCGCAGCGTGGATGGTTATCTATTGTGTGATAAGGCCGGGTAACGTGACAGCAAACGTGTGTTACAACATGATGGCAGAAAACACAACGCCTGGTGTGCTGAATGGCAAGTTTCGTTATAAAAAGCTTCCAGATGGAAATTTGGATAAAACCAAAGTTGTGTGCATTTATTGTAGTGATGAACTGTCCTTTCATCGAAGCACAACAAGTTTGAAGTACCATCTTTGGGCCAAACGTATTGTGACGATCCACGTCAGCCATTGGGGGGTCTGGTGGCAGCTGCATGATGCAGAGGTGCATCATGGGAGTTCTAAATAAATGACAGAGAAAGCAGTGTTGCATTGTGGTAATTGTAAAAGGACACGCCCAGCCGATATCCAGAGTTGTGCGGTGTATGGGGCCTGGAATAATCACTAACCAAGATCAGCATAGGTGCTAGCGCCCTGCTAGCTAGTTTAGCTGTACCAGTGTAGCTAGTCTCTCTCCACCATGCCGGGGGTCATTACATTTGGTGTCAGAAGTGGGATGTGCGGAGTACCAACACCGCTATGGAGAGAGACATAGGTGAGTTAGAGCGAGCAGTACTGGAAAGCAGCCTGCTATTGGAACACCTCCGGGGGCAGTCTGGGCGGAAGAAGATGGCACCATGCAGGCCAGATGGTGCCAGCATCCCTCGATTTCCCAGCCATTCTCTGACTCCCCAGCCCGTTCGACA